TTTTTCTTTTTGAAAAGCTTAAAACAAATACTTTCGAATTTTTCATTCTGAAGAACTATCACATCACAAAGGTCAACGCTAGACGGGTGTTTCTAAAAAATAAGGACTGCAAAAATATTCAGCTACGCATTGCATTGATGACCATTTATTTTCACCCATTTGAATGACTTCTATAGGTGAATGCTACCCTGTCCAAACGAATTATTTAGCGACCAATTGTCGCAATCTATACATGTTGTTGCTATTTATATAATTTTACACATACATGGATGTATTGCGTTTTTTTTTATAGTTGTTGTTTTGATATTATGATGAATCACTTGTATTATATGATAGTTGTGTTTGAAAAAATATGATAAGAAATGTAAAGTCCATAACTAATTTCGTCGTCATTATTTTACTAGTGCTTTTGTTAATGACATCTGAATAGAAGTAAGAGAGACAGAATTTTCCAAGTTTTTATTCAAAAATAGAAGAAATAGGATTGAGATCGAAATTTCTTTTTAAAAATCACATACATGAACTATAAATTACTTTATTTCTAGTTAGATTTTTCTGTATTTTTAACATTCTACTCAATGTGAAATTCTCATCTCATTGAAGATCATTAGTTACTATTTCTAGTAATGAGTATGACTAATATAACAGATACAATATCAATCGATTCTGATTCGTTAGTCTATCGTGTGGCCACAACATCAGATTGTCATTCATTAGCTGCACTAATCAATAATAGTTACGGGGGTGAATTGTCACGGCAAGGTTGGGTTGATAGAACTCATTTATTTTCTGCAGAAGGAAGAAGAACAAATGAAAATACGTTGTTTAATATGATTAACAGTGATACACATGTCTTTTTGGTATTCTTCGGTGAAGATGATCAAACTTTAAAAGGATGTATTAGTTTAGAACACAAACCAGAAGTAAAAACTGCATATATTGGCATGTTTGCTGTGCGCCCAGATTTGCAAAGTCGAGGTTATGGAAAATTTATCTTATCTGCGGCTGAAAATTATGCTATGAACAATTGGAATGTTCAGTATATTGAATTGAGTGTTATTACTCACATACCTGAATTAATATCGTATTACAAACGCCGTGGTTATACTGACACTGGTCAACGTCAACCATATCCTGCACATGCAATACCACCAGAAGCTACTTTACGAGACGATTTAGAACTTTGTTTCTTGAGTAAATGTTTAAAAAAGAATGAAGAAAAACCAATTTAAATAAATATAAAGGCTATGTTATTAATTTGTCTTGGAATTTCCAGTGAATGAATCTATCAGAAGTGCAAAATCTGCCACAAAAATCAAAAATTTTCCCATCTCAAAAAAATAGAGCAAACGAATTCCGTTATTTAAGTTTCGTACTCACAAAATAGGAGACCAATAACGAGCTACTGGTATAATATAAAAAAAGCAATTGCTGCGTGTGGGTGTAGGTGTGTCTTTGCTCTTCATCAACACCTACACCCACACCCTGAGTTTCTCTATTTATTAATTGAATTAATCATCGACGTACATATGAATCAATCATCGTTGAGAATTTTTCAGCGAAGAGTAAAAATTTTTGACTATTATAGCCAGCGCAGTGAGAAAATGTCTTCGCTGTTGTCTAAACAATATGATCATAATAAGAAGAGCAGCAAGCCATATAGTAAATACTATGCAATACCATAAAACACGATGTCTATTGTAATAAAGATAGAGTATCATTAGAGTATCGGGATGAAACCATGTGCCTCCTTTTGTCTGCAAAAACACGGAACGATAAATTCTATTATCAAATATACGTACAACTTGTTTGTCTGTCTGTCTAAAAAAGTATTCTTGAATTGTAGCATAGAGTGGACCAACACGAAGTAATATAGTGACATGATAAATGAGAAAATTATGATTGAACAGATGCAATCGTGAAATAAACTGCTTGTACATCGGATGACCAACAGTACTAATCATGAAATTATTTTGGATGCTGAATACTTCCGCAGCTGGAAAAAGAGCAAGGTGAGTCGAGTCAGGATCGAGTGCTTCCATAATAGCTACTAATTCGCGAAAAGAACGATGACAAGCATTGTCCATATCAATATAAATACCACCTAAGTGAAATAAAAGTACGTATCGAAACGAATCGATACGTTGTATATCATATCGATAATTGACAAAACTATTCCAATAGAAGTCAGGTTCATGCTGTCGAACAAACATATCCATGTCTGCATGAGACCATCGACGGTATTTAAATTCATTGGCATTCATCTTCATCACTGATTGTACCGTTGTATTCCAAATAGCAGGTATAGCATACATACGATATGTTTGATGAATCACACGAGGTATACGTCGTCGAGGTCAAGTAACATTCGCATATCGAAATAGATCCATTTCATTTATAAACTTCTTAGGTGAACGACGTCGTAATGCATAGCATAGAATATAACTGATTAACAAAACGAATATGATGACCAGTACACATGTATATATTTTGGCACGGCTTCGTCTAATGGTTATTAATATTCTTGGATGTATTTTCATGTTAAATATACTGTACTACGCTATGTTTAAATGAGATTGACTTAGAATTTTATTTCCGATCATTGTTATTAAAACTAGAAAAATCTATAATCATCTTAACATAAAATAGAATTGCTCACTCAAGCAACGCCTTCGACAAATATCAAGAGAAAATGTTACTTTCTATTACTTTTCATTACATTTCTATAACTTCATATGTTTACACTATAGAGCCTAGCAGATATTTTATTTTTTCAGCAGAATTATATTTTTTTTTCTGAAGATTTTTTGATGAAATATTAGTAGTATTTTGATTGTTCAGATAGTCCTATAATACTGTTTCTATCGGACATGCAATGGACAGCTATCTTGAGGATGAAGAGTGAAGATTATTAAAATAGTTTGATGAAACATAGCAACCTAGTAGATTCAAAAATGAAATCTGATCTCCATCTATTTTTATTTAGTTCAGTTGACGAACAAAAACGAGAGTTTTAGCTGTTTCAAATAACATGATCGAAAAGCAGATTTTTCAATCGAAACTCTGATATTTAGATTGTATGATGACCGTTTTTGAAAAATATCTTAATATCTGTTTCTTTTATTGTAAACCTACTAAGCATAAGTATCTGAAGAAGTATCCAAGCATATTATGCGCGAATGTAAAATTTTAGAAGCCAAATATTTCCTCTTGAGAGTGGGATGCGGGTGTGGTGTGTGGGTGAAATAAAAAAATTACACCCGCGCACACTCACACCCACATTCACACTCACACCCACCCGCATCCACACCCACACACTCACACCCACACACACTCACACCCACACCCACACCCCACACCCATACCCACATCATATTCATAAGAACCGACGATTTTCCAGCGGTAGTGCTTACGACTTTCGGTGCCAACTATACACGATTGTAGAGAGTATTTTCTATCCAAAATTGAATTTTTTATTAGAAAGAATTTCAATTAGTCGAGAAAAAAACACAGTTTTAGAATATATTTTAAGTCCACTACCTCAAAAACGTATTTTTTCGACTGCCTTTGATACCATATGTCGTGATGTCTTTTAAGTTGCAATGAATCAAGCATATTCACAACATCACTTACAGTTGTCATCTTGTTTTTCTTTTCATTTCTGTCCTCTTTTTTTTTACTCATTCCTTTGCTCATGTGAAGATGATGCGAAATATATGCAGCAAAGATATAAAATTCTATTGAAAATTGCTTACGTAGAATGGTACAAAGAGCATTAGATCCTTACAGAATCAATAAGACCTGACGAATTTGTCTAAATTACCAGTTAGAAAAATTGAAAGAATCCTGATGACTTTTTTTAATAATCTCATGACTATTGTTGTTATCTTCCTCCCTTACTGTCCTCCATACTTCTATGTAATTTCATTCGGTAGTAGAGACCCACTGTTACTCATCATGTGATAACGGCGACACAGTGAAAGAGTGAAGATAAGCGTCAAGCGAAAGAGCAACACTTGCGAAAAAGCGTCAGTTGGAAAAAACCCAGTAACTTTTATTCAGCAATTTACACAAAATACATTCAATCATATTAGACAAAAACGATCATCAGACGTTGAAGGTGTAATTTGCGCGTAAGTAGATTGCCGACATCATTCGGTTTTTCTTCACTGTATTACCACAGATAGATGATATCCACGCATTTTTTGAGAGAAAGGACAATGATGACTGAATTCATCAATGCAGACGATGAAAAGTACTATAAAAGGGTGTGAATGTGAGTCTTTTTCTTTCACACACTCAAATCCACATCCCATCAACCGCCACACCCGCTCCCATATCCATATCTAGGTTCAAACAACGCCAGAACCTGACTGAATCAGCGTTAGACTCTGAATTTGCTCAAACGCCGGACTTACTAGGGGTCCCGAAAATTCTGTCATTGTAACCTTTAATTCTTGTATCTTGAATATTGCCACTGTAGGGAGCACGCATAACTATGAATGACATCATTTCAATTATCATGGCATGAGGTTTTTAGGGGATGGGTGTCGGTGTGGGTGTCAGAAACACAAAACTAAAACGACACAGACACCCACCCACAGCCGCTCACTCGCAATCATTAGGATGTCGTTTATACAACTGATCCAACTCGGTTCTTCTACTTAAAATGAATATGATATTCGTTTTCAAATTTCACAAAAAATTAGATTGTTTCAGATGAAACACTGAGTTTTGTTATATTGCTCAGGTCGAACTGTGACCACTAGGTACAGGTTTTTCGGAGGGAAAATAGTAAGGACTTCAGTCTAATAAAATCTTAGCGCCTCCTCCTTTCGAAAATCATGATTTTCGTCAAAAAAACAGGTGGTTTTGAGATTTTTATGTGATTGGATATCCCTCGTTGGCTACTTTTGAAAACAGTATTATCTATCGGAATTCTGGTGCTTTTTCACGATTTCACACAGGATTTACTGATGAGGCTAGAATTAGAAAAAATTATTTTTTTGAAAATGTTAGGCATTGTTGCCTTTGTAACTGCTTCTAAGATTTCCCATAGGGAAGAAGGTGGCAAAAATGTGCGACGTACCAAGCACTGAGAGCCTTTGAATAAGTGCACTTATGCCCTGTATTTCTTTTCCTACCAGTGTTCATTCAATTATGTAATTATTTTGATGGTGTTATGTCAGAAGAGGCGCCTTCTGATATAAGTATGTGTTATTTTCTCTTTCTTCGGCTTCATTCTTTCACATTTATAGTCATCGATTGCTTCTTCTCAACTTTTGTCTATTTAAACAGCTAGTATTGTTGGTGTGGAAGCCGGTGTGAATGTGTTACATGAATACTGACACACATCTACCTCTCATATGTATGTTCTCTTCTAGGCTCAAATTTTTAGACGCTGTACAAGCACGTACAAGTATTCGTTTGCTTCGCCATAGTCGATAACATATGATGGACTGCGATCGATATGTTTTCTTTATCGCTTTACGAAACAGACACATTAATTGTCAGTTGCAAGTTTTGTTTTGGATTTTTCTCAAAACAAGATTTTATTTGTATTTTTCACTTGTGTTTCCCAGATTTCTCAGCCATTTTGCATGCTAGTCAGTTCAGAAAGATTTTAAATTTAAAAGTAAATTCTGCTCTACAATTTCGTAGAGCCAGATTTTTTATTATTGACTTAGTTCTTGAGAAAAATGAACCTTTGTGCACAGGACTCTCCTTATTATTTTGAGCTTTTCGAAAAAAACTGATTCCAAAAATTGGTAAAAAAGAATTTGAAAAATCAGACTCTATTATGTTGTAGCGGCAAGTGTTGGCTACATTTTGACGCCAACCCGAGATCTGTAGCATTAGATTTGGGAAAGAAATCTGGGACACAGGAAAGCCAACTTTTTGACTCTTAATATAGGGATAACTCTTGAATGTCTCAATATTTTGGACTGAAATTTTTACTATAAGATTGTTAGGCCCAGGTCTGTATTTCCTGAAGTTTTCTGCTACACCTGTTGTTCTGGAACAAAAATAGATATTTGACAGAGGAGGGAAGACTTAAGGAGTCTTTTGAAGTCTTTGAGCTATAGCTTTTTATACACGCTGAAGTTTCATGAAGTCTTTGAAATCTCTTGAAGTTCAGTGAAGTTCATTGAAGCGTCTTTAAGTTCTCTGAAGTCTACTGTTTTCCCGTAGGATTTTTCTATTGCCTTCTATGTCACAGGACTGATTGAAC